CAGTAACTAACTGAAACTACATCAAAAACATGATAATAATGGAAATTGTATCAATCAATAACTCTTTCTTAAAGTCAAAGATTATGAAATCATCATACCCATTGAAAAATGTGAAGGTATGTGAAGGTATGACATTTGTCAAACACAAAATAATCTATACATGTTTAACCTTCTCCGTCAGTTTATATGTTCAATTTATTGTTTTTAATTAATTTTTACTGTAAGTATGAATTGTAATGTTTTTCGATGGCAAAAAAACTAACAACTCAATAAATTATAGGCCCTGTACTGATTCAAATTGGAAACAGAACCACAGAACACAGAAGATATATGACTGAACGTAGAACTCATATAATTATACGCTATACAAGAGATATGAGTTGGGTGTTGTGTTAATTTATGCCTAATGCCGCTGATGAGAATGTGAGGTTGTTGTTTTCAGTTACCGGGCTATGCAAGCGACAAGTGCGAGACTTATTATTTCTATTATGATAGGTTGATGTTAGTGAAATTTTCAATAACTCACCCCTCTGTTCCTGGATAAAAGTCGGTTTCAAATCCATTACATTGGTAAGAAGGCATATCGCAATTTGGCACATTCGATATCTGGTGTGGCAAATCTGGTGTGTCATAAACTTCTATATCTTTATCTGTAACAGCTTCTGCTCCTTCATTTTCAATTTGATAGCCTGGTATGCCAACCCACTGATCTGCATGAAATTCATTATTTTCGTTGCTTGACAACTTCATTTGAGAAACGCCTTCAAAATTATCATTATTCAGCAAAGGATTTGTTTCTGGACCATTACCAAGTACATCATCGATATTAAACTCTCTGGAATTTCTGATAATGCGACGGTCACCGACTTTAGCCAAGTTGGCTCTGGCTTTAGCTAGTGCTACACTGTATTGGGCTTTAGCTCGCCAGTTGAGAGCATTTGCTATATTCCTTGCTTTCTGGTTCTGCAGATGAGCTAGTGCTAAGAGTACTCCAGGCGTAACACTATGAGAGGAGCGGAACCAAATTGCCCATATAACAAGCAGTTTAAAAATCAACTAAAATGGCATCAGAAAATATTGTTAAACTGTGCATCAATTTAAGCAATAACGCAAAACATGTTATTGAAAAAAATCAAGGATACAAAACAGTGTGTTCGTAAAATGTGGAATGCCATGGGAAAACGAATGATCAAATGGAGGGTGCAATTGCATACTTCCGTCCGGGAAGGAAGTGCATAAAAAAAATTACATTTTTTCCCCGACTGAACTAGCAGGAGGGTGATGCTTTTCGAGTGTATGTATATAAGCATATATCTATATGTATATAGGGTGTAACTGAATAAGTGTAAAACATTTAAGGAGGTGATTCCTCATCGAAAAAAAAAATATAGAATCTTTCACATAAAGAAACTTCATCGAGCATCCTTTGTTAAGATACAGCCCCTTAAAAGGGGTACATAAAATTTGTATTACAATTTTTTTTACAAGCACTGAAAAAGTTACAATATTGAAATTAACCTGACGTTTTGTACTACCAAAAAGACAGTTAGCCAGTAATTTATTTGGTTTATCCCATGGTTGTAAAGGGTGGAAAACGCAATCCCTAAAATTCATTTCCAATGTAACTTTTTGTCTTATTATTTGTTTACCATTTAAAAATTCATTTCCGATAGCCTATTTCATTCTAAACAAAAAATGTCTCTTGGGTTTTTTGCCCAAAATAAACCAGNTTAGTGCTTGTGAAAAAAATTGTTATATAAATTTTATGTACCCTCTTTAAGGGACTGTATCTTAACAAGGGATGCTCCAATGAAATTTCTTTGTATGAATGATCCTTTTTTTTTCGATGAGGAATCACCTCCTTAACTGTTTTACACTTATTTAGTTACACCCTGTATAGGGCGTTCCAACGAAAACTTGACCCCCCTGTAAGTTAGAAACAGACGTGTAATCGAAAATTTCAAAGAGCACGTTAACTTTTATTTCTTCTCAGATGGAAATTTCACCCCCCTGCGGTCAGCAACTATCCCCTAATTTTTCAATTTTTCACCTAGAACTTTTTCACGTAGAATTCAATGGCCTAAAAACAAATTTTTTCCAATGAAATACCAATACTTATGGAAAAGTATTTTTTTAAGGGACACCCTGTATATTCCTGCATATTTCAATAGAGCTCATAATTACCTTTGCAAAAATGTAGCTTGATATTTTGCTAGAGTTATCTTTGAAATACAAAGCTTTTAGATTTTTCACTTAGACTTTAAAACAGAATGTAAAATCTTTACTGGTAGCTGTCAAATTTTGCTTCAATCAGTGAAGACGCTCTTTAGTTAGCGGTTTTTGTTCACTTTTCAAACACATTCGCAATGAAGTATGAGAATTATGAAAAATGGGATATGATAACATGTTTTATACAGACCTATCTTAACGTACTGAGCCATTGCATGGGAACCGAAAGTTCTACACAGGAGCCATGAGAACAACACCAACCGCGGCAATGGAATTAATCACGGGTCTGACCCCTCTTGATCTGTACGTTAAGGAGGTTGACTTGATGGCCATGGTACGATTGCGAATGGCTGGTGTAAACCTCGAAGTAGGAATGGGTCAATTGAGGCTGGGCCTATGGCGGGAAGCGCTTACTGCGCAACCTCTGCTGCAGGCAACAAGTGATGCAATTGAACTCAGGTTTGTGTTTAATAAACCCTACAAAATACAAATCCCATACGCCCCCATACGAACGATAACTCTCAGAAGTTGAGAAACTTGTGAGAGCTGAGGACTAACGAGGTCTTACCTTTTAACATGTGATTCTTAACACGGCTGCAGAATCATTCCAGCTTCAACCAGATTATCTCGAGAAAAATATCTGGTCGAGGCGGGAATCGAACCCACGGCTTTCCCATCGTGAGTCAGGCGCACTACCACCGCGGCCAATTCCAATAAAGCAGAACACAGTCAGATGCTACAAATGCAATACGCATGTATATAGACGGCTCAAAAACCAAAGAAGGCTCAGGATGTGGAGTGTACTCCAGATCACTGAGCCTAAGGATTGAGTGGGGAATGGGAAAAAATACCAGCGTGGTCAATACAGAACTGTCTGGTATCTTAATCGCCACAAAAGAAATAATCAGGAATCTGACAAAAACATAACAATCTGCAGACTAGCCTTATCAGCCTTGAACAGACGTGTTACCTCAGGGCTAGTACTAGAGTGTCACCAAGATTCAGCCAAAGCCTCGGTAGATAATAGCATTATCCTGAGGTGGGTTGAAGGGCACGACAGGAGTAAAGGTAATCGCATTGCCGACTCTTCAGCCAAGGAAGCGGCTGTAAATGCAGAAGCAGCAAGCAATTTGTATCAGAGGTATCCAGAGAGAAGAGAACCTTTCAGAGAAATTTTCGCACGATTGGAAGCGGCAGTGATGCAAAGTTTTGCTCCTCTCACTCCTATTGAACTATTTAATTCGGCAAGGAACGTTCAGAAAAGATATCTCCTGTGGGTAGAGGAAGCTAGTAGACATTTCAAACACCTTCTCTGAAGAAATATAGTATAAATTGTTTTCAGTTTCATTGAAACTATGCGTTTTAATTATTATTTTGAAAGGCTTTCTCAACATTTGATAGCTATTACTGAACAATTTCATTCTGTTTCTGTACCTTCCAAAGGCTGTAACTTTTTTTGTGTTCACATTTGCATTGAGGCTAGTTATATTCAATAGAGTTATATATGACCCCAGAAAACGTGGTTACATTTATGGCCCACTTTTTTGTTACACTCTGTATATTCGTATTTCAAATGAACTCACCATGTTTTGGAACCTGAAGTGATATATTTCAAGATAATCTCCACTCACCAAATAAAAATTTCACTGACACTCATAGGTACAATGTCGTTCATAGCAGAAATTCAAATTCTGCTTATGATGCATTATGTGTCGTATATTTTGCAATACTCACTACTGTTTACGAAAATGATAAACATAATGAAACACTGGGCGAATTAAAACAGTGAGCTATTAGTTCAACGACATTTATTAAAAGTACATTACCAAATGTACAATAAAATATTTTTGATTCCAGGATATAATTATTCATTTTTCACAATACTCATATCTCTCATCATGTACAAGTAAAATATATTTTGCAGTTAACAAGAAATACATTATTTCTTTACGATATGATTATTCGTTTACATCCAAAGACAAAAGTCCAAACAATCCTAGCATATTTGAATAACAGCAATTCAGTAATACAACAACAAAAACTATTTACAAAATATCATTGCAAAAAATGTGAGTCGAAAAATGCGTGGACTTGAAGCGAAACAATCACACTTTTCTGTCCCAAAAAATGCCTAGATTCCTAGGTTCTTTGGAGAGAAATATTCATCATACTCGTATGTCTCAAAAGGTCGTAGACTATTTTCATGTTCTCTGCAAGGCTTTCAGAAATGTCTAGAAATCTGTATGATCTGGACCTAAAAAGAAAATTTTCATAAAATTTGGAAATAACGAGCAGATAGTTGAAAAATTTACAGGAATAAAGAATCTATGTAACTGGTATCATTCGATACCAGTTATACAGGGTGGGGTACCAAAAACGAAACAGATCGAATATCTTCTAAACACATGCTTTCTGAAAAAAATGCAAAAACACATTGATTTCTAATCCAAGGGGGACATCTTTCTATCATAACCTCAACTGTCATATCTCTCCCTCATACCTCGGTCACTATCATCCAAACAATTTGAATAGGGAAAGTAGTAAGTGTGACACATCATTAGAAAGGTTATTTCATAAGGAATGCGGCCATATCAATTTTCGCTACCTGACTTTCTTTTTTGGCGCCCTCCTTCGGGAAAAAAACTGTTCCGTATTCCAAATTATTTGCGAGCTAATTTGACATAAATTCGGTGACAATGCATTATGGAATGTTTCTAAGGGGTAAAAAAATGGCGGCTCTACAATGGCGGACAAGATTTGCAATTACGGTCCGATTTGATTCAAAATTGATAACTGGTGGTTTTCAGGGTCGAAAATTATGAATTGTTTGTTCCGCCATCTTATTTTTTCATCGACAAAACAATCATAACTTCCCACCCGGAAAATCCCCACATACTAATTTTGATTCGAATCGAACCATAATTACAAATTTCGTCCGCCATCTTGGAGTCACCATATTGTTTTTTTGCATTGACAAACAAATCATAATTCCGACCCTGAAAACTACCACCTCTCAATTCTGAATCAAATCGGACTATAATTGCAAATCTTGTCGCCATTGTGGAGCCGCCATTTTGTATTGTCCCTTAGAAACATTCCATAATGCATTGTTACCAAATTTATGTCAAATCAGCTGGCAAATAATTTGGAATACAAAAGTTTTTTTCCCGCAAGAGGGCGCGGGATGTGTCACACTTACTACTTTCCCTATTCAAATTGTTTGGATGATAGTGACCGAGGTGTGGGGGAGAGGTATGACAGTCGAGGTTATGATAGAAAGATGTCCCCCTTGGATTAGAAATCAACGTGTTTTTGCATTTTTTTCAGAAAACACGTGTTTTGAAGATATTCGATCAGTTTCGTTTTTGGTGCCCCACCCTGTATACTACTAGGTACCGATGATGATTACTCAGAACACTTCTGAGAAATTCGTAGACCAACACATAGATGGCGCTACTAGTAATAAATCCATGATTTTGAGTTAACCCTATTATTCAAAACACACGTGTATAAATTTGACAGCTGTTGGACTATGCTCCAAAAAGCCTATCATCAAAAAAGTCCACAAAATAATTTTGGATGAAGTCAATTGAGATAGCTATGGCTCTAAAGATATCAAAGAAACGTGTGGGACATGAATATTTGGGTGTGCAAGAGATCTGTTCTAGGAGGGTACTGCGCGAGTTTACAATCGACCAAAAACAACAACGAATTGATGATTTTGAGCAGCTGTTGCACCATGAAAAACCCCAATCCTTACGTCGATATGTGACAATGAAGGAAACATAGCTCTGTCAATTTTTTCAAATGAATCACCCTATATTGTTTCACATTATCAGATGCTCCATGAAGAGCAGATTTCAACAAAGCATAAAACATATGGTCTGGAACTCATGGTTCGGGAGCTATAAATTATTAGAGTTGAAAACGAGCTAACCAGCTATATAGTATGCTATATGGTATTGGTCCATCATCGTTATCCATAATAATATTATGTTTACTTATTTCTACACTCTCATAGGCATCTAGTTGCCTACTGTTGTTAACTTGTTCAACTAATCTTAATGAACTGAAGTCTATGAAATGGTTTTGTTGCAAAATATGATGGGCGACTGCTAATTTTGCAGGTCTTCCATATTTTAAGTGTGCTATGTGTTCCTTGTATCTTACATTAATAAATTTTTTTGTCTGTCCATAATATTTTGCATCGCAGTCCTTACATTCAATTTCGTAAATTCCAGACTTTTCCGAATTCTCGACTTTATCTTTTAGACTTCCCAAAAGGCTCTGTAGTGTGTGACTTGTTTTAAAAACCAACTTCATACCTAGTTCCTTGAAAATCTTTCCAAAGTTCTTCGTATATTGGTGGTATGGAACTGAGATGTTTTTGTCCTTTCTGAAAGTTGACATTTCGTTCATTCTCAACCTAAACTTCTTCTTCCTTATTATGTCATCTACAATACCCCTCGAGAAACCGTTATGGCTGCTATTTCCTGTATTGTATGTTTTTCATTTTTGAACCTATCATGTATTAGAGGAAAAGTCAAAAGACGATGCACACAAAAATTCAACCCAGCACGTTTGTGCTGTCCACAATGATGTGAACTGTCAGGAATATACCTGTACGTACTTGTTTGTCTTCTAAATATATCGTATTCTAACCCTCCATATTGGTTCCTCATTACCAAAATGTCAAGATATGGTATTTGTCCCTTATATTCTAACTCATACGTGAATTTTTCTGATGGACATCTATTATTTAATGAACAACAGGAAGGAACGGTCATGGGAAACCACTTGTCCCCCTACCTGGCAGACCTGTTTATGAGCAGATTCGAAATGGAAATCAAAGAAAAGTCAAAGAATTTCCCTAGGATTTGGCTAAGGTATGTGGACGATATTTTCGCGATATTCGATACCAAAAATCGAATACTGAGGACTTTGTTTCTTTTTTAAATAATAGATGTCCATCAATAAAATTCACGTATGAGTTAGAAAATAAGGGACAACTACCATTTCTTGACGTTTGGGTAATGAGGAACCAATATGGAGAGTTAGAATACGATATATTTAGAAAAGAAACAAGCACGTACAGGCATATTCCTGACAGTTCACATCACTGTGGACAGCACAAACCCGCTGGGTTAAATTTTTTAGTGCATCGTCTTTTGACTTTTCCTCTAACTCATGGTAGGTTAAAAAAAGAAAAACGTACAATACAGGAAAAAGCAGCCACCAACGATTTCTCGGGGGGTATTGTAGATGACATAATAAGGAAGAAGAAGTTTAGGTTAAGAATGAACGAAATCTCAACTTTCAGAAAGGACAAAAACCAAGATAAATACATCTCAGTTCCATACCACCAATATACGAAGAACTTTGGAAAGATTTTCAAGGAACTAGGTATGAAGTTGGTTTTTAAAACAAGTCACACACTACAGAGCCTTTTGGGAAGTCTAAAAGATAAAGTCGAGAATTCGGAAAAGTCTGGAATTTACGAAATTGAATGTAAGGACTGCGATGCAAAATATTATGGACAGACGAAAAGATCTATTGAAGTAAGATATAAGGAACACATAGCACACTTAAAATATGGAAGACCTGAAAAATCAGCAGTCGCTGCAACAAAACCATTCCTTAGACTTCAGTTCATTAAGATTAGTTAGACAAGTTAACAAAAATAGCCAACTAAATGCCTATGAGAGTGTAGAAATAAGTAAACATAATAATATGAAGAATAACGATGATAGATCAATACCATATTATTGGATTTACTGATTACTACAGTGTAAAAATAAATTTAGATAGGAATATTGTGAAATCAATTTTTATATAGCTGAAAATTGTTTTATATATAACTATAACATTTAAACACTACATAAGGACATATTGTAAAATAATAGATAAGGCAAATTGTAAAATTAATTTAGGGAAGTATACCTTTATGGGTGGTATACCTGTATGGTTTACCTGTATAGTATACCTGTATAGCGTAAATAGCGTTAGCTTAGGAAAGTTTCCAGTTTAATCTTCCTCTTGGAGATGATTACTTGGTGATCGAAACACGTGTCGAGGTGTTAAAAATAACGATTTGGTGTTGGGAAAAAACTCTAGTAATATAGATTTCAACATTATGGTCTGAAGCTCATAGTTTGGAAACTAAAAATTGTTTGAGTTGAAAACGAGTCACCCTGAATAGACTTTTGTACAATCAGTTACCTAGGTTTCATCTGTGTTTTTGTTGAGTATACTTCAAAAAAAGTCTTATTTTGCCTAGGTAAATTTGAATTCTATATTCTCTTCATTTTGTATTTGTCTCATACTACAATAACGATTACCTACCAGGTGAAATTACAATTGGGGTTTTTGTTGGGATTGGATTGAAATAGTGAGTTTGTACTACCAGAATGAAAATAGTGCTAGAGCTGCTGTTCAATGATAATCATCTAGGAAGAAATTTACGACACAAATACGTTTCGGAATTATTGAACAAATTTATGGAAACTGTATCTGCTAACAATAAAAGGCATAACCGTTCAGGAGTTGTCAACGATGACGCTATTTGTACTGCCGTTTCAGGGCACGTTGGACTAATGGAAAATTCGCAATCTCTCACTAAGTTATCCCTAGAATCAGGAATCATTCGTACTTATGTTTTCAGGATCCTTCATAAGTGCAAATTTCATCCATATAAGATTAGACTAGTTCATGCATTAGACGAATTCGATAGACATATCGAGTTTTGTGAAAGTCTCACTGAACGGATCAACTTGCGTTAGAATTTCTTGTATGAAATTTGTTTTTCGGATGAATTTACGTTTGGTTTGAACGGAGACGTGAATCGGGAAAATTATCGATATTGGAGTGATACGAATCCTCATTTATACCGTCAAGTTCTTACCTAACGACCTCAAAAACTGAATGTTTGGGCAGGAATTTTAGGTGATCACGTCATAGGACCTTTTATTGTCGATGATAATTTGACTGGTGATAAATATTTGGATATGTTGGAGAATTGAATAATACGTGCGTAAATAGGGCAATTGAGGAGGATATAAATTTATTCAAAAACGAAATAGTTTTTCAGCAGGATGGTGCACCTCCTGTAGATTTCTTTCTATGGGATCATTTGAAGTCTAAAGTGTGTGAGATAGAATCAACATTAGTAGATTTGAGAGAGAATATCTTGAGGCATTGCAGAGAAATAACTTCCGAGATTCTCAACCATGTGAGGGCGGCAATGTAAGCTCGTTTGTACCATTGTATGGAAGTTGGTGGAAACGTTTTTGAACATATACTATTGAAAATTCTTTTCTTCTTATTGTAGGCATAAGATTTTGATCCAAGAATTAATAAAACATCCCTTTTTCTGATTTATTACTTCCATCTTTGCCTCTAGATCGAATATTTTAAAATGTGGCCTCCTGTATAATTGTTGACCTGTTTTTTTCTGCAAATCATTGTTTCAAATGTTATTCAGGGTCGATTTCAACTCAAATGATTTGTAGCTCCCGAACCATAAGCTTCAGACCCTATGTTTTATACTTTGTTGAAATCTGCTCATCATGGAGCATCTGATAATGCGGAACAATTTAGGGTGATGCATTTAAAAAAATTGGTGACATGCTCTGGGTTTAATCGTACTAGTATAGTGCATTATCTATAATTTTCCACAACCTACAACTCTACTGCTTACTATATTTTGATTCTGCTATAAACTGGTAACGTAAAATTTAGATATGACAACGCGCTTTACTCTCAATCATTATTGGTTTTACTATAGATAAAATTGAACATACAATGAAATTATAACTGTTGGATTCATTTTATCCAACTCGTATTATTGCATTCATTTTGACAATAAAGGCAATAAAAAAGGCAATAAAATTGCCTTTTTTCATCGGTATTCAAGGAAAACTACAAGTGTGCTCACGGCTGAATTCAGAATTTAATACAGGATTCAAAAACGAATCGAAAAATCTGGGTTACTATTAAAAAAAATGGTGTCGGTGTGGCGACGCCTTGATGGATGACGCCTATTACTGGATCTTTTCGCAATTAAGAGGACCGTTTGACATCAAAATCATCTGCCTTCACGAAATATGGATATTCTCTCTCATTTTTCAGATATTTGCCGCGGAATTTTGTATGGGACACCCTATTATTTTACAGTGTACGTTTTTAGGGATGGTGGTATATGTGCTTTTCCGGGAGTTTATCCGTTGTATTCTTCAAAGGTTGACGTTTTGCCATAATCATTCAAATAATGAATTTTTGTCAGTTGAAAGTACAGTCTTTAGAGAAAAAATAAAACTTTTGTTGTTATGCCCATTTTCAAATTGCAGTTTACAATCTCTCCTTTTTCAATTTTCACACTGAATATTTTTTATAGACTTGGTCGAAATATAACTCCTTCCAATTTAAAGATATTGCCATTTTACTATCGAAGTTTTCAACGATAAAGAAAATTACTTTCGTAAGAAAATCCAATAATATTCATTTGCATTTGATGTAATATTTCATGCATTTAATTTAACACACACTAAAAACCATTAGAAAAAGTTAAAGAGGTTAAACGTAAAAATCCATGCGGCATGTGAAAATTGGGGTCATATGAACTTTGTTAAATGCAGAATAACTGGCTCCAAAATTGTTAAATGATCGTTAAATGTTCTTTAGTAGCAAACTACACCTTATTATGAGAAGTCCATCATACTTCCAAAATGTTGAAAAGCTGATTACTAACTGGTTTTTGTTAATGACAAAGATGTATTGTTAATTTCTATTAAACGGGTGAATATTATTTAGTTCAACAAATTCACGAACTCAAAAACTATGAAATGAGTTCGGCGTCAAATGCAAATAAAAGTATTGATTTCACGTGAGAATTTCTAAGGTGGAGTTTACTCCGAAAAAAGTAGAACTGAAAAAATGAGCACAAAAGTCTATGAATTTTGTTTCTCGATATCTTTTCTGAAGATAGTCCTGTTTTTGGCTGGTAACATGATTTACAGAGAGATTTTTCCAAAATCCATAGAGAGGTATTGCTAGCAATAAAAACCCAGTTGCGTTTTCTATATATTTCAAGAATAATTTTTGGCGCTGCGAAGTCGGAAAATTACAACATTAAATAACTGTTGAAAATCAGTTTCATATTCACATATTATGTGATAATTATTGGTGGAATCTTGACAATTGACAATCTTGATATAGTGAATTCCTGAAAGTGAAAGTATCATTATTCAAAACAATCTTCAACAGAACAATTTGTGTCAGAACAATTTTTCCGGGTTTTTTGGCGGTGGTCTGCAGGTTTGTATGCCTGACGTTTGTTTCGTTTACTACTGCGGTAGACATCATCAAAAGTGATTATTTCATCAGTTCGGACTTCCATTGTCTAGTATAATATAAACTGATTTGAAATCCCTGAAAAAAAATTAAAAAGATTAACCGAAAATAACAATTTTATTAATAGACAATAGAAGTCCGAACTGATGAAATACACCACGAAACATTGTCAGCCACTTTCAAACAAACATCAAAGGTGATGATGAACCGGTCGAGTTGGTGCTCGAGATGTTGTTTTCGTTGTTCCTACGCAGAAACTAAAATGCCATAATTTGTCTCCGGTTTTACAGTATCATAGGTGGGGTTGGTTTCTCCTAATTGGGTTACTCTTAATTGGTTTACTCCATCTTGTTTGTGTATTATTAACGACAGGTAACCAGATATATAGAGAGGCAGTAGATTTTCAAAAAACCAGGGATAATTTCATTAGAAAAGAAGGGGTAATGAACATCAATAAAATCTGGCAACCTGTCCTTAATTATATACAAACAAGGTCAGGTAATCCAATGAAATGAAGAGAAATCAAGTCACGCTCACTTATAAAACCGGAAAAAATTTCAAGCACTGTAGTAAACATCAATAAAATCTGGCAACCTGTCCTTAATTATATACAAACAAGGTCAGGTAATCCAATGAAGAGAAATCAAGTCACGCTCACTTATAAAACCGGAGACAATTTCAAGCACTGTAGTTTCTACGTTGGGAACAACTTGACCACTTTGACTATTACCTCAACGCTTTTATAATATCTACCGCAGTAGTAAACGAAACGTTAGGCATGAAAACGTGCCCCGGAAAATTGATTGAGACAGTTATCTCCGGCCGTGAAAGTTTACATTCTTTGATCAATAGAAAGTTGATTCAGTTTATTGTTCTCAATTGTCATCTTACGGAATCCACCTTTCAAAAATTAAATGATTGTAAATTAGGTGTTTATGCTTGCAAAAACAGAAGAGCCGCAATAACTCAAAGCCTACGTGCCAATTTCAGAAGAATTTTCACCAATTTCGGTATACCTCATCAATACCGGGGTCCGACAATTTATCAATTTTCGCTAATTTTGCTCTTCAGATTTCAAGAGGCGTTCGTCACTTCGTTCGAAATTGGGGGAGGTTTATCAAGGATAGTTGTGGAATTTTCAGAACTTTCTAATAGCTTGATAAGTTTGTTGTGGACATTTTTAGACGACACCACCCTTGGACACCTGGCCAATAGTCCTGAGATAGCCCCTGTTTTGTTATAGCTAGAATGTTCTTGGAGTAGTCTGAAAGCTTTTGATGGTATTATTTCATAATTTTCCTCATATGCTACTTCGTTATCATTCCAAGACTCGTAGTAACTCTTGTAGTCTTCATGGCTACTAACAAACTCCTGTGGGGTGTGAACTGCCGTGGAATATCCAGTACTACTCCTCATTGGTGAGAGAAAACTGCTTGGACTTGTAGAGGTCTCGCGAGATTCAAATTCTTCTTGGAGTATTTTCGTTGCAGCAGCAAATAATTTCTCAGGTGGCATGTTTCTGAAGACTTGTGCTTTTTTATGCTTCAAAAAACTTTGAATCAGTTCACCTACTAATCGCTCATTTACAGGCGAATTGTTGCTCCCTTCAGCGTTTTTGTCAGTATCGAAATTCTTACTGAGTGGTAATCGGAGATGATCCCTTCTGCGTTGCTCATTGGAGAAAATATCTTGATGAATGCTAGCACTTGCATTCGTTTCTTCTTTTTCTTCATCTGAATCCTCATCATCACATCCTTCTTGTAGGAGCTTGAATAGTCTTGAATGCGTAGCTGCACGTTGGTATCGAGTAAGCTTTTTGAGTTCTGAAAACTCTTCAGTGTCAGATATATGTCTGCTCATGTCCGATGTTACACCGGAATCGATTTCCTCTTCTTCACTCAGTTCTTCGAATGATTTTATACTGCTTTTTGTCGATACCGACTTTGTTCTACTACGAGTGGTGTTTTCATAGGTACATTCTTTTTCTTTTATCAGTATTTCAGTTTTTTGCTCCTGTATTCTTTGCTGCTTTTCCTTTATGCTATTTTTCAAAGCTTGAATCCGCTCTTTGATCGAAGGAATTTTGGGTTCCGTTTCTTCATTGCTAGTTGCATTTTTGGGTTCACGAATATTTATATTCACATCTTCTTCAGAGGAATATTCCGATTCATCTGAGGTATCATCTGAATCTGATTCATTTGAGATTTGTCTACATGGTTCTACCGTATACGTTTTTTCTGTGACATTGTTTGTTTCTGAAGTGGACTTTTCATTACCAAATACTCGATAGCTCTTACTAGAATTATACCCAGTATAATTAGTAGAACATTCTTTGGTCGATCCACATTCTGGATTTATTTTCTCTTGTTTTTTGTCACCTTTGGTTTCGATAACGTTGTTTTGATAATAAGTTGTTGCTGATTTTTTGAAAGACTCATTTTTCTTTTCTTGGACACTGTTCTCGTCAAATCCAGCACTATTATTTTTGTTATGGTCTACTTTCTCTTGTGAATTTTTCAAAATACGCGTGTTCCAAAAACTGTTCTGAATTTTTTCCAATTGATCAACAAAGTTTTCCATTTCCATCAATTTTCCAGTAGTATCCACTTTGATATCTTCAAAATCATCATATATACTTGATGTCATCGTTACTTGATGTGATTCAGATTTTCCTAATACATTGTTTTCTTCGCATACTTCATTAGGTATTGAAACAGTATTTGTTTCGTTACAACTGTTTTCGATAGTATCAACCACCTCATTTGAGGAATTTGTTTTTCTTGAATCACCAGCAAGTGTGATTGGAGTATCAGAACTTTTCCCTTCAGAAGTAATTTTTGCACTGGCATAATCATTTTTGACATATTTTTCTTCCACTTGCTCAGGAATGAGTTCATTTTCTCCTACATCACACTCTACATACTGAGGCTTTCTCGAAATAGGTTGATCATCCTCTTTACCTAAAATTCCCCACCAGTCTTCACTTTCATCACTTTCTTTCCCATCATCTAATTCCTCAATGGTTTCTTTGGTTTCTTCTTCATTCTTTCTAAGGAGTTCCTCATCGTGATTAGATATTTCTGTTGCCTGATCTTCTTCAGTTTGGTCTCTACATGGAGATCGTTTTCTTGGTGTTACAGAAGGACTCTTTAAAGTGAATGATGCATAAATTTCAGTATCATTGAAGGTCTTCAAATTACCATTTTCGTAAGTTACATTTTTACTTTCTTCCTCACCTACAGTAATACAAAATTTCAACGGCACTCTAACCTGAGGAGTATCTTCCTCATTTTCATCTTCACTAGGATCTGCAACTGTTGTAGAATCACTCATAACGCTAACTGATCTGATTCTAGATTCAGTTCTGCATTCGCTTTCTTCAAGGATGACGCTCAGCTCATGTTGAAGTGCATTACCATCCACGACATGAGATGAACTTTCCTCATCAGAATCATCCCCTGAATCTCTTGATGATACTTCATCAAGAACGTCGTCATCTGAATTGTCTTCTTGCATGTTATAGACATTGATATCCTTCACTGATTTAACAGATTTCAAACAATTAGAATTTGTTTTCTGGATGGGAAGCTTGCAAGATTCCGAATCGGATTCAGAATCTGTTAATTGTGGTCTTTGTTCGTCAACTGAATGATTTCTGTCCAAATACATTTTTTGCGAGCGATTGGGCGTTACATTTGTTTCTACACATGCATTACTCAACTCAGATCCTTCTTCCGTTTCAGCATAACAGTACTCAGTATCATTTTCAGATATTTGATAATAAGGATATGGTGGATACATTGGCATATAACCGTAATAGTAGTAAAAGTAATATGGATCAAAATATGGAGGATATTGTGGTAATCTTCTGAAGCCTTCACCTGTTTTAATCTCATCACTGTATTCCACAGGTTTTTGTCGATGTACAAATGGTAGATGAGGTAAAGGAGTAGTTCTGGGATTGGAAGAAGTATCCGTGTCACTTCCTTCAGATACAGAATTGTTTTTATATACTGGGTAATGCGGTGGATGAAAATATCCCCAGAAAGGTGTTGGGGCCTGGAGTTGATCAGATCCACTTGGTGTCTTAGCTTCTCCTTCAGAAAGTTCCGAATATACGTCAGGATAGGGGTATTCTGGGTAGTAGTTGTGCCAATATGGCGGAAAAGGTGGAGGTGGATATTGAGGATAATAACTTCCCTCATCGTATGGATAAGCTTCGTTTCGGTCATCGACATTGGCTATAACAAAAGTACAGTTTTTTCAATAAAGATCATCCAATGCACAAAAAAGATATGTAGCTTCATCAAACTCTCGCAGCTCGAATCGCAACCAGTTGGTTTGGAGTTGAAGTTATGAACAATCATGCATGAATTTTATAGTGGAAATCATACAATAAACTGTATTGATTAGTTATTTGATTTGCAATTGAAATTTCACGATAATTCGATTCTGGAATTTGGAAAGAATAAACGAAAAGGTTTATTATACAGGGTGTTCATTGGACTATTCTTGGACTATTCTAAGGATATTTTGTCCTTTGATGATTTCTGATAAGACGCTTTGTTTCAAAGATACGGAGCGAAAAAGAATTTCAACAATAACAATTTATTACCTAAAATTACATGTATTGTTTCTTAATCTACAAGAACGTTTGAAAATGACTAAACCGCTAAAATGCAAGAATTCAATCTTCTCATCGACTCCCGAACTCTTTCAGAAACACCAGGATCGATTCTGATTGTGTTACACCCAGCAGGAATCTTTACAGAAAATTTCCTGCATATGCAATTGGCAATACAACTGAAAGAGTCGACCTTCAATTTTGGAACGGGCACACTTGCAGACCGGTTTCGGGCTCATTAGCCACTCCTCAGTGCAAGATAGTGACCATCATCGACCTGAAGTCAATGATATTCCAGAATTGAAAATCGGAATTCTTTCAGAGTATTTCATTCTTCTTCCGAAGTTGGAGGGAACATCACGAAATGTCACTCAATCGGGCAAACCACGGATATGCAGTTGGTAAGTACCTCGTCCACTAGATGGTCAATTTTCGTGGCACATAAAGGAGTTTTATTCATGAAGCAACAGGTTATTCTACAATTAGGTTTATAAGAGAAAGATGGATGGAAGTATCGTTAGTACTTCTATTTGGCTAGTAACGCACCCCGTGTCTATTGAGTAGCACACTAGTTCAACCTGCAAATAAGCAGTAACCGAATGAAGAACGTTTAGATATGACAAAAATAAATTTTTCACACGAGGAGATGGTGTATGATTATACTAAATCTATAACAAATATTTGTCTTTATCTCTAGACGAGATGGAAAGGCCGCTATTTGGTGACCAGGAAAATAACTGACGTGAACTTGAAGTTGTAGACAATCAATTATCCACTTGTGGTGCACCGTTTGGAACCTTTGGTGTAGAAATGAATATTACTGGAGTTCTATCCCAACACCAAATCGTTATTTTAAACACCTCGATTGAATCTTCAATCTTCCTCTTGAAGATGATCACTTGGTGATTGAAACACGTGTCGAGGTGTTAAAAATAACGGTTTGGTGTTGGGATAGATCTCCAGTGATATTAATCAATTATCAACGCCAAGTGGAGTCATATGAAAAGGTGGGCAATGTAGCAAATGTTGAAAATAGATGAGTATGAACGTGCCCCTCGATTGCAGGTTCACAAATCTTTTTTGGTCGTAACTGAAGAGAATGACGAAATCATAAAATAATTTTTTGGGCAAATCATCTGAAGGAACAATTCTTTCAGGTCAGTCTCAACTCCCTACACTGTAAGTTAATGGACTGACACTTATCAGAAAACAACTACTTTCCTGGCTAATACCAAGGGTGTTGGATTGTATCCGACAGGTGTCAGTGCAGAATTCTTCACTGAAATTATTCCTGCATATGCTGTTGGCAATAAAACCGCTGCAATAGATTTTTAATTATTGGAACACACTTGCAGGCCGGTTTCGAGCTCTCTGGTCACTCGTCAGTGCAAGGTAGTATCTATCATCAACATAAAGTCGATGATTTCCGATAATTGAAAATTGAATTCCTTCAGAGTATCATTCCTCGAACTAGGCTGAAGCGGACAACAAACAACAGATTTGTCATCGCCCCATCTGCCTGTGAACGATGTAACCAACCGCATATCCGGAATTTGCCCAGTTCCTCGTATAAGGAAAGAAAACTTTTCACATTTAGTCAGTGGGCCAGTCAGGCCGACTAACTATATGTGGCCAGTCTCAACTCCCTACACTGTAGGTTGATGGACTGACACCTAGCAGAAAACAACTATTCCCCTGGCAAGTGTATTCCTATAATTGAAAATATATTGCGGCAGTTGTATCGCCAACAGCATATCCAGGAATAACTTCAGTGAAGAATCCTGCACTGATACCTCTCGGATATAATCCAACGCCCATCGTGTATTAGCCAGGAAAGTAGATGTTTACTGATAGGTGTCAGTCCATTAACTCACAGTGTAGGGAGTTGAGCCTGGCCTGAACGAATTGTTCCTTTTGATGATTTGATTTATAGCCAGTCTTCAAGTATGCTCACTAACTTTATGTGAAAATTATTTTTTAGGGCTTTGACTGTTTTATGGTATAAGAGAATAGTCGAATATACTATATCACTCGAGTGATAACAATTTTTTTCATTTAAAATATCTACACCTCATCAAGCACATAGCTGTAGGAGCCAAAATGATTCTCATGAACTCAAAAGTATCAACTGTTAACATGCACTCGAAATCATTCCCCGTTTCTTTATGTATCGAGTTTGATACGGCTTCTTTCCTAGGTGAATATTTGTTTCCATATTTCTAAAAAAATTAGTCAAAAATGATTGACTGATTGAAAAAGATAGATATTAGATATTAGAGATATTAAGACGTTTCAAAAGTTTTGTTCGGTACAATGTAATGCATTTTTGTTGCTCCATATCTCAATGAATATTTATTCTACTGTGTCAAAGAAATATCTTTTAGAAAATTGATTCTATAGTATGGAAGAATTTTTCGAGCATTGAATGTTTACAAGAGGTTTCTGTTAGCAAATATTTATGTACAGATATATGTTTATTTAAATATATACGTTCCTTTTGTGAAGCTATTTGTTGTTATAAGTTTGTAATTGTTATTCCTGACATCTCTATATTTTATATACGTATATATTTTACTCATTTATGATATCTTTTGTGAAGCTATTTGTTGTTATAAGTTTGTAATTGTTATTCCTGACATCTCTATATTTTATATACGTATATATTTTACTCGTTTATGATAGTATACCTATTCTGTGACCTGCCATTTGTATTGAGTGTATTCAATATGGTTAATAAATACTGCTACTACTATACTATACTGATCGATAGAAAGTTTGTACTCTATATAATACACTGATGCTGTTTATTTTTTCCAAATGTTCTGCCTCTTTTCAGCTCGTTACTATATGATATAGCTTCGGCAAATAGATCCAAAGCGCTGCCGAAACAGCTCAAAAAATCAACCAGGCATTTGGAAATGATATTCTTGATGAACGCACTGTTTGACGTTGCTTTACGAAATTTCGTTCCGGAGATTTCAGCCTTGAAGATGAGCTCCGAATTGGTCGACCAACAGTAATCCAGGACGAGGATTCGTGGACTCTGGTGGAGACTGGCCCATCATAAAAGGTGCATGGGATGGCGGAAGAACTAGGCTTCAGCTCCCCTGCGGTTTTTGATACTTCGGAACGTATTGGAAAGATCAGAATGTTCAAAAAGTGGGTGCCCCAGACTTTGAACGAACACCAACCGACTACCATCTTTACGGGCGAGTTGGCTGTCCACTGTGCATGCTGTTTTTGACGAGTGCATTGTCTTGAGATGTGTGGGTTGAACAAACCGGCCATTGGATGTCTGCTTCCACGTAGCCCCGCTGGATATGGCAGTGACAGTCACTTGTGGTTCTGTCTCTAATTGAATGGTAATCCAATGATGGCTTAGTTCTGAGGTGTGTGTATCCGTGCCAAGAGGATGAATGACACTGAGCCTATCAGTTGTCTCTACGGAACCTTCGAGATACCGAGCGCCGTCTGGTCGTAGCATCACCTTGTCATTGTAATGTGGGGCTCTACCGTGAGTGACCTTGTTTCTCTAGCTACTCGTGGGATTTTCATGAACAGAGTTAACTTGAAAATTCTTTCTGACACTGAGTCTACAGAGGAGATCGATGTCGTACTTACGAGTCCAACTGACCTCCCTGTAAATTTAGACCATGAGCGAGAGCTTCTCAACTCTCCAACTCCTGATCCAATAACTGGTGGTGTAGCCAGGAAACGACTGAGTCGTCTTCTCCAGAGCGAGGTACCTTATGAAACTGCCTTGCACCAAATTCTTGAGCGGCGTACGCAGAATATGTCTCAGGTGGAGGAATAAGCCCCCATGAGCAGGTTAGCAAACGTTTGCGCTCAAATGATGATTCACCAAAACCAGAGGCGAAAAAGACCTGGTGTAGCGTCAGGTGTAGCTGACGTGCAAAAACTCTCATATGGGAAGGTTGTCGCGGGTATCAAGGTGGGAATCTTGCACCTTGACTATCCGACTACCTCATTGACGATGAAACAGCAGAGCATATGTTTTGTGCCTGCCCCGCTGGGGACGAATCAAGTTCTTAGAGTTCGGCAGAGCAGTACTCTTACCATCTGACCTGAAAAACCACTCACCATACAAACTAATCGGCTTCGTTAAGAAGCTGGGTTTATTTGGTCGTGTGTGAATAGCTGTGAGCCACAATAAACCTTTGCGGGTTTCGGTGGAGGGTCGAATATACCCTTTCACTTTGGACCTAACCTAACCTGACTATCTTTACGAGCACATCGATAACTTTCCATCGGTCGCCAATCAAGACTAGACAAAGCGGCCTTCGTCGCTTCATCGAATCCCAAGCACATACTCCTTATGCTGACGGAATTATTTGACTTGTGTTACATTAGCAAAAATGCACTTATTTCGATATTAGAGATTGAAGTAAACTCATAAAAACGGTCCAAATATCTGAAACAACCCAATAACAGGGTATTAGCAAAAAATACATGCGTTTTTTGATCTTTCGTGATTCAGGTGCTACTTTGAAACATCTGTTTGAAATAACGTTTTGTACGAATTCAGAAAGATGCATTGCATTACGAAGGAATGTCTACCCTACAAATACAAAAACGTATCGGACATATCCATTTTATTTATATTCATCCAAGTATTGAACCCTGATTTTGATATTTTATTTTTGACATTATTATAATTGAATAACTGAATCGAAATCTGAGCGTAGACATCCATCCAGAAAATACTTATCTTGTCATCGAATAGGTTTTTCACTTGGCATATAGTAAATGAAGGAAGAAATACTTTCATTACTTCCTATTTAGCCGTACTCACCACAATTTTCTGGTGCGGTCATAGCCTGTAATATCTTGAAGGATCTACTAGGAATCGAACTCCCAGTATATTTTTTAGGTTCTGGTACAGTTTGCTCGCTTGGATGCACATATTCTTGTGGTTTGTAGTCACCTGGTTATTATTATTATAAATGATAAGAAAGAGTTGAATGTGAAGCAAATAAAATATTTACCTTCTATCTGTATAGGAATGGTTCTAACTTGAGGACCTTTGTTATTTGCCTGTTGAGAACCTCGTGGAACTGGAAAATAATAAAAGTGTGGTGTTAAAAATTGCTTTATTTAAATCAGCCTAGCTTCTTCCACGAAAGGCCTGACACAAATATTCTGGACAAATATGTAGATAATACATTTTTTCATCATATAGAATACCATAGATCATTTTTAACAGTCAGGTTCTACGTCATTAACTGA